CTTACTTTAAGTAGGCCATCTTTTCTCCGTCCCACTTGCGGAGCACTGTCCCCAGTTTGGCACCGTACTTGAATTCTGTCACCCGGCCATTTCCAAAGTACTGGCTGCCTGTGATGGGCTCTCCACCCAAGTCAATTACCTGGTACAGGAAAGATAAAGTATATCTTCCTACTCAAAAACCAAACAAATAAGACACTGCTTCAGACATTGCTTTAAACAAGGGGACAGTACTTGAGCTAATTATGTTATTTGGCTTTCTTGCAAAATTGTATGTAAGGCTATTTTTTTCTTTTAGCTCAGCCCAGTATATCTCCTTACCCCAACTGGTCACCTACGTGTGATTAAGGCTTGGGCTGTACTTCCTTTATATTTAGTATGGTCACCAAGGCCTCTGCTTCCAGCAGCTAGGCAGCATCCTTTCACCATGGAGCTAAAGAACATTTCTATTTGCCTAGACTTTGCAGGCAAGATACTAATTTAATAAAATATGTGCAGTAAGTTTAGCTTCTGCTGACTGAAACCAACACTTACCTGCTTGTTCCAATTCATTATTCAAATGTAAAACACAAATTCAGAATTTCAAGTAATAGTCATTATGCATTTGGAAAATAAACTTTCTGCACATAATTAACATTTATGTCTTCTGTTGCAATTTATTATCCAGAATTTAAAATTCAGGAAATGAAATATCTTTTTTAAACCAACAGAATTTTTACACTAACTTCAAGGTTGTAAATTTCATCTCAATAAAATTTCCAGGTTACCTAATTCTTGAAGGTCCAAAACAAGTGGGGAATTTTGCACATCAATTACCATTTATTTGCAGATTAGATATTTGCAGATTATGGTTGAGGATGATATTGAGGATGATTTCTGTATATCTGCTTGGGCTCAGCCCATGCAAAGCATTGCCATGTGTGACTGAGTCTGTACTGGGCCGGCAAGAAATATGTTTGTGAAGTAAAATTTAAAAAAATAAAGACTACCTCTTGGTAAATGAAAGGTTTAGTTCCTGCAGGAAACCACTGAGTGTTTAGGTCTTCCAGCTTGTCTAAAATGGCCTTGACATCCGCAGGCCACATGTGCTTGGCAGCATCGATCCGGAACCCCGCGACACCGATGGCGACAAGCTGGTTCAGGTACCCGGCAATCCTGGAGCGCACGTACTCCTTCTCCAGGGCCAGGTCCAGCAGGCTGGCCAGGCGGCAGTCCCGCACCTGGGCAAAAAACCTGAAATCAAACCTTCTCACCTAATAAACTTCATCTAATGTTCTATACACCTTTTGAATGTTCTTGAGCTATATTACGATGCCAAATAAAACCTCTAGTAGCCTTTGTTCCCCATGCATTTCGTTCCTTTGCCAAGTCATCTACACAGAAGCTGCAATAAGAAATTGAATTTACCCCTCTCTTCCAAAATTGAGACCAAGGAAAACTTCAAAATTACAATAAAAGGCAAATAGTAACTTCTACCTTTTTAACACACTAAATAGATTTTATGAGCTTTAAAATATCTGAAATTGAGATATTGTCTCAAGTACAGCTATCCCTTTAAGAAGTGGTATTCCTGATAGCAACACTAACCTCTGTTATTAATTTGGATGGCTTTTTATGAGGCTTTTTAAAATTCCTTTTTAAAAAAAAAGTATTGCTGTAAATGAGAGCAAAGAAATCACAGCACAGGAACAGATGTACATGAAAACCATAGTTGTAGGTTTACCTGAGATATATCATGATAATTCTCAATGTTTCCACTTCTAGATTTGCATTTCTGATCATTAAAGTCCCAGCTAGAATAGGGCACAGCTGGGAAATCTTCAGTCTTTGAATTGAAATAGCTTCCACAAGTAGCATGGTCACCAGCCCCAGCATTAGCTCCACACATATGGTTGATCACTGCATCCACGTAAATGTGCACCTAGAGAACAGTATCCACGTAATTTGAAAAAGCTACTTCCCACAGCACCACTAATTAATGTTCTCTCTCCCATACTTCCTGCCCTATCCCCCTACTTCTGCTTGCTTGCTTCAGCCAATATTTTACTCCATTTTTTTTTTATTAGCATACAGCAAGGGTGATAAAACATGCAGCTCAGCAGACAGGCAGGTAACACTGCATCCATTTTTTTAAATGGTAGAATCTCTGGCTATATATTTGCATTGTAAATACCAGAAGGTTTTAAAAGTACTTACTCCAACATTATTGCACCGGGTTACCATGTCTCTAAATTCAGTTTCATTTCCAGATCTTGTGCACAGCTTGTAGCTGACAGGCTGGTATCTTTCCCACCACGGTCGCTGGGGGTCAGTAATGATAACATTTTCATTTGGAGGTGAAATCTGTCAATAAAACAAGGGCACTTGGTAACAGGATACTGAAAATTGTTAATTTGTTTGCCTAGTATTTTTAGAGAAAGAACATAACCTACTTAGATCCTCAGTATCCTCTGCTTACACTGTAGTGCTGGAAACAAAAGCCTTAGGCCTGGCCTTCAACAGGTAGAAACCCAGTATAATAAATTATACTGGTAGAAACCCAGTATAAAAATTAGGTCCATGAACAGAGTGGCTTAATTTCCTTTGTGACTTCAAGCTTCAAAAAGAAGCATCTGAAACTGAAGAACTAGGCCAGAAGTGGAAGGAAGTGATTGCATAACAACTGACGTAACATCCTGCCTTGAAAACTGACCCAACTTCCTGTTTTTGTAATGTTTTGGATGAGCATATACTTGACCTACGTCTTGTAGATTTCCAGGTGAGTTATAACTCTTGCTTTTACAGACTTTTCGGGATACATTTCAGGCAACAAGCTTTTGCTGCTACCTCCAAGCCTCTGGGCACAACAACCTTATCCAACCATTTCTCAGCCTCTTAACTGCCACACCTTCCTGACCAGCCCAGCAAGGCATCATCTGAAAAAAAATTCCTGAGATCCTGCCACAGAATGGATTAAAATGATAAGCAGGCACAGGCCACAGTCTGAAAAATCAATTTAAAGTCCATCTGGTCTGCATGCCTGGAAAGACAGTTCCAAAGAAAAAATGATTATTTGAAAATTATGGGAAAGTTCTCACTCAGGCCAGCTTGCAGTCTCTTGGTCTGCAAGAGACAAACACCATTTTTTTTCACACCAATTTTTCCCAAGCAGTCTGACAGGCAAACAGAAATACTTTAACCAGTGGCTTCTCTCCTGCCATGCTACCCCACCCAAGTGCCAGTTCTGGTTCCACAAGAACACATGTCTGTCATTCAGACAGAACTGACTCACACAGGGACACCTTCACCAGAACCTGCATTCAGTTCACTGCCACCTGCTCACACCAGGTTCCTGCAAAGAAGGGTCTCTTAGTGGCTTACTGTGACACTGTGCCACACAGAGAGAAACTTGCCAGTTTGGGTGAACACAACTAGCAGCCTTTTTTACTTAATTATTTAAAACCTTCAGCATTTTTTTGGAAGCTCTTTATTCAGTCATAGTTTCATTTTATATTTATCTAACTCTTAAGAGCTTCCCTTGATTTAAATAATATCAAGCAGATAAACATAGGTGACTCTTCACAGCAGTAAAAAAAAAGATTTAGCAAATGATGTGATGTGCAATTCTAGTTCATCTAAATGTAATAGCACAGACTGCAAAACATGCACTTTGGAGCAATGAAATAAATTCATGCTTACGTGAAGATAGCTGAAGAATATATTTGTCAGCATTTACTACTTCCATTACCAATTTCTATTTTTCTCGTTCAGTACCCGTCCTTTGACAAATTGAACATTTTCTGTGAAAAACAAATTATCATCTATGTAGCAATTTTACTACCTACTGATAGGAGCAGACATACCTGAACTCCTCCAAATCCATTAGGAGCTAAGTAGCGTTCACACTCCTGAGCAATATCCTGCCAGCGCCATTCAAAGAGATGCACAATAGAGGTTCTCTTAGGGAGAGTGTTGGGGTTGTACTGCCCCCAGCAAAGGCCTACGACTAACAGCAGAAAATAGATCCCCATCCGGTGCTCTGTGATCAGCTGTGCTCTTCTTACTAACTGTCAGTGCTCCTGCAAGAGGTAAAGTACACATTAGAAAATACACATTTAAAGATAAACGCTTATCTCTGGGTGTTACTTACCTGTTACTTTGTATGAGAACTGCATTTTATCCAAACTCTATCAAATTTCCATACTAAAGTAACTTTGTTTTCATGCACTTCAAATTCACATGTTGCCAAATGGAGGCTACCTCCAGAATGCAAAAGTTGTGGTTTTATTAGTATAAAGCCAAAAACTACCCCAAAGGGCAAAGGAATATTTATATAGACTGAAATTGACATTTTGTTTCTCATTTTAATGAACATTATTACATTCCTATTTATCCTTGAGAGGCAGCTTTTTTTTTTTTTCCAAATCGTGTTACTACAATTTGAACATATTTGGATAAGACCTTGCAGAGGCAGCATATTTCTTACCATGATTTGTTATGAAACCCCAGATATTTTCAAGGTTTAATGTACACGTGTCTGTCATTCATGATATACATGACATCGCTCATTCAAACAGCCTGAAACCTGAAAAATCTCTCACAGAAATCATTAATTATTGTGACGCAAACCCAGAAATGCTAAATGCTAAATCCAGCACACCTGCTGGATTTCTGTGGAGATATTCTCCTTTTAAGAACATGGGCAACAACATGCAGATGTTAGAAGTGCTGTGAAGCTCCATAACCATGAAATCTCCTTCTGAGTGCCTGAGTTCTGCAAAAGGAGGTTTCCAGAGGCTTGATGCTACATTTCCTTCTGATGAGCTAGGCTAGGAACTCCATTTCCCAACTCATACCCTATTTGTATTTATTTAGGGACAAAAGACAACAATCCTTATATCAAAATTGCTTCTCCACTTCCTCACCTAGAGATACAACATGTAACAAACCAGAAACTAAACAACTACCAAGGTTTACTCTATTGAGAACCTTATTTTGCACTCTTCCCGTTTAGAAGTTGATTTAGAGAGTCTGAGATACAAAGTCCTACAAGAAAAACTTCTGCAAACGAATGGCTGAACTAATACTTCCCTTAAATAACAAAATATTTAACAGGAAAGTAACAAGAGTCTGTAGCTATTTTTTATAAAAAGTTATCTTACGGAAACAACACAGAGCAAAAACAGATTTCTGTCACAAGGGAAAATAAACACCTCAGTGAAGGCTTAAACATGAACACAAGGGCCCTCAGGTTTGTTACACAAAGGAAACCGTGCTTTTCCTGATTTAATACACGCTTGGGAATGCACTGCTGAAAACTCCAACCTGCTGTGATACAGTTACTCAGACATAAGTTGATGTAATATTTTACATGACTTCTACAAAACTGCCCTCATTTCTGCTTCAAGGAAAGGATGATCCATATCTCTCAGGCAGTGGAGCACTCTTTGAAGCAAATTTAGGCACAAAATATACCATTTATAAAGTGTAGAACCAGCCTTCCAGAACCTGACAGCTGCTATCAGCCACCACTGTTCCTCACAAGCAGGCAGTTATTTAGAATTAAGCATTTGGTATATTCAGCTGATTTTTCTGCTTGTGAACAAAATAACTTTAATACAATTATTCATTTGTAGATCTTCAGTAAAATAAACAGATTAAGTTTCAGCCACAAGCGGTGGAATTTCATGAAGGAATGCTTTTTAGCCCTGATAGGAAGAACATACATTAAGAGAAAATGAGCTATGAAAATTCCATCTTCACTGATGAGAAAAGCCATTTATTAGATTGACAAGTTTTACTTAAAGCAGTAAATACATAAAGTAGTAAGAATAATGTACCTTGACCCCCCCAAATCAGCTCCAAAGCCTAGTGCTTAAAGATTCAATGTAGATTTTAATTTCTCTAAACAAGTTTATGGCTGCTCTGCCTTAAATACAAGCAATAAGAAGAGAACGAGGATATTAAAATCCTCACTGCACTCTGAAGGCCCTAGCTTCAAAACGTTTTCCAAGCTTGGAAAAACGCCAAGATGCTACGTGGAAGAGAGCAACACTGCTTGCAGTGCAGAGAACCTGGGAGCGGAGCGTCTCTGCAGACCCTGGCGCCGCCTTGGCCAGCTCGGGAACTCGGGGCACCGACTCCGCTGGGTCACGGCCTGAGCTCGCCTCGCCAACACACCTGCGACCGCCTTCAGACCTGCGGGACGGCCGCGCCGAGCGGCGGCGGCTGCAGGTGGCAAAGGTGTGACCGGGAAGCAGAGCGCGGCCCCGTCCCTTCCGGCGGCTCCCCACAGACCGCCCTCGGCAGCCCGCCCGGGCCGGCCCGCGGGGGCTCCGGGCGGCGCTCCCCGTGCGCCCCGCCCCGCCGGGCCGCCGGACAGCGCGCTCTGCCCGCGGCTCTCAACGCTCGCTTGCCACTCTCACGAACTATTTTCGTCCTTGCGAACAGCACCACCTTGCTGTTAGCGCACTTCGGCGCTTTGAAAATTCACTTGTGGGCCTTTAGTCCTGTACGTGTAGCTCAACATGGGTGTTAGGACATACTACTGTAGAATAACAGAAGCATTTGAGTTGAAAAAGCCCTCTAGGATTGAACGAACACAGTCCCCATTGGAATGCAGCAAGTAAGATATGAATAATTCCAGTAAAAGCACTTTAAAGTAATCTGCTAAACCAGCTCCTATTGGAATAAAATAGATTGACTTTGGTCCAGCCACCAATAGTAGTGATTTAGACTGTTTGCAGCTGGAGTAATGACAAATCTTTTACACCAGCCAGCTCCCACACCATCAACTACGATTTAGTAATTTATGGAATAACTTTGCCTTTAAGTCTACTGAACTAGAATATCTTGTAAATTAAATGTCATTGCAGTGTTTCCCACATGGTTTTAAATAGTTCCACTAAGCAGCCCAGTATGTAGCTAATCCCATGTGACCACTGTTATCATCACCCTCAACAGGGCAAGGACCACATCAATACCAGTTTTAACTGCTACTCTGGTTTTAATTACTTAAGTCTCACCAGTGACAGTTTTCAAGTTGCAGATGAACAATGCAAGTTAATTACTGAAGAAAAACAGTGCCCAGTTTCAGAGTACAAATTCAGGCCAATGCACCAGCCCTTCTGCTTGGTTTTCAAGACAAGAAGACCTGTTCTGCCTAAAACCACAAGAGCAAAGTTCAAAACAAAAAGAAGGCAGCAAAATGAAGAGAAGGGAAATAATTTATTAGATTTCACAAGCAATCTTAACATACATTTATGATGTAATAAGTCTTGTGTTATTTAAAGATATATAGCATCTTTAAGACAGGAAAATTTATTCTCTGCCTTAAATACTTTAGAAATGCTACTACGCACAGTTCAAGAGTCCTGATGATTACACTGCTTCTTCCCCAGCTCCATAATACTTGAAAGAGATGGAACACAAAAGGGACCTGGAACATCACAAAAGCATGTTAAAAGTAAGAACTACCAAAAAAACAGGAGTGCTATATTGGCTTTTGACAACTACATTGAAAGATGCTTAGTGTTTTAAAAAGTGCTTAATGTCTGTGAAAAATACATCTTAATAAATGCAGACTGTGTTAATTTTAGATTACAGAATGTTAAACAGTAATGTAGTATGAAACCCACAGGAAACATGTAGGTCACTAGCAACAACACTACCTAGGTGCAGACAGCACTGTAACAAAACCCAAACAACCAACAAAAGGGTAGCAGTGATTAAGTTGATTATTAGTCCAGATCCAAATACTTAATTACAAGATAGTTTTAATTTTCTTCTTTACTCAAAATGACAAAGTAAGGAATGTATTAACTAAATCAACTCCAAATTGTTTCTCATGTACCAGAACAATAATCAAATGATCTAAAATACTGATCAACCCCTTAATATTAAAACTGCTCTGCAATGTATTTTAGACAACATATTATTATATTACTATGTTTTTAAAGTAAAACAAGGTAACTTGGTCAGTGTGAGCTCAGCACAGCTTCACACAGATCAGCTGCTAGGATCTAGAACTGCTCCTCTAAGGAACAGGACCACAAATTAGTAGGGTATCTGAGGAAGAAGGTGAAGGCCACCTTTTGAGACTGAGAACCTTCATTGTGTCTATTCACTCAATACAGACAACTCATTGGTTTCTTTTTCCCCCCCTGAAAAAATTTGCTTTTTAAAGTTTTTAGATTAGCTCAAGCTTAAAACATGTTAACTCCTCCCCACACCTACTCTGTATGAAAATTAAGATGCAGTTGTGTGCTACAAGAAATATTGCACAAAAAAGGATACAACAAGAAAGGATACACTCTGCATGACAGTATTATTGCAGTATTTACGCAGGAATGTTTCTAAAGAAGAACAGCAGAATGTGGTTTAATTTTACTGGATTCTCAGTATTGCACACACATAACTTTATGCTACCTAGCAAAAAAAATAAAGCAAATATGCCTCTGATAAAAACCAATTCTAACCCCTTATGAGATTTAATGAGGGCTGATGAATCCATCAACACTAAACTTCATATTCGAAAGTAAATACATTTTTTATAACAGGAACTATTAGGACACCAGCAGATTTTTCCATCTCCTTCAAGTCTTTGCCATTTTACAGACTCACTTTCTTAAACTCAATCATGTTTCCCTTTAGTGAGAGCTTTCAAGCCACTTCTTCCATATGAAGAAACCTGACAGCTCTCAACATCAGTTTCTTCCACATAACTTTTCTCCCAAACAGTTGTTTTATAGCTACAGGAAAAAGTCACTTCAGGTGAACTTTTTGCCAATCCATCAATAAAAAGACATTTCAGCCAGCAAGGAGTTCTGCAGTATTTTATAAACCATATGTATTGTTTTGTCAAAAAAAAACCC